CCTCAAGCGGGTCCCAGCGACGTTTCCTGAATTTGACCAAGTCTGTAATGTGTAAACGCCGCTTGGTCCTCTGGGCACCATTAAGTGGTAGAATGGTCGCCACAATATAGTGGTCGCTGCCAAGGTGCTCCGCTAGAAGAGCATGCAGTACCACCGGGCCCGTATCACGTGCAAAGGCGAGGTCAGTGCAGGTGTCACGTGATATACTGTTACCAATACGATTGGGGCGCTCTGGGTCAGTTAGTAAAGTGTATCTCATGTTACCAATATCATTCCACAAGCGTGTTCTTTTGGCCTGCGATTTGACATAACCCTAAACTGTATGTGGAGCGTTAAAATCCCCGCACACCACACGAACCCGTCCAAAACTCTCAAATTCCGTGAGAAGGCGGTGAAAGTAGTGCGTACGCGAACAGGGGGAACTGTATACATTTAGTAAAAACAAGCTTTGACTGTTTGAGCTTTGCGTAATTGTTTCGATTATTTGGTGAGGGATGTCACTGCTAGTAGTATGCACTCGACATGTGACATGTTTCGTAACTAGGGCTCCCACAAGAGGTGAGGCACCCAAGAGAGTGTTGTAAGGAGGTGGACAATTTGGTTCTTGTAAGAGGATAACATCAGAAGCGTCAGTGGATGCGGTTACGTACTGCTGCAGGGAACTCCACCTTTGGCGGAATTGGATTGGATTTGATAAACTTTTATTTGGTCCTCCAAAACACAGATCAACCCCTGCCGTTCCATTGCCACACCACTAGTCGTGGCATGTCACGCGATGCCATCTTCATCGCGGGATGAAACGGAAGGACGCCGTGCACTCGTATTGGATGTTGACAGCCGAGAGATTTGATCAAGTTTAGTCTCGGTAGTTGGTCCGGCGGTGGTACGTGCGAGTGTGCCTTCTATACATGACTGGACGTGCTCCAGCATCTCAATTTGAAGGATTTCCATGCAGCGTTTTATCCTGTCGAGTGCAGCCAGCATACTGGTGCCCATTTCGGCTACCAGCGCGCCCATTTGCTTTTGCAGGCATTCGCAACGCGCCTCCATGTCACGCCGTCGGCGTGCTATTTCCGCGAGAGAATCAGGGGTCGAGGACTTAGTGATCTGAGGATCTGAGCGGACGTAGAGGGGAGTGATTGGCGGGACGGAGCAAGCTGCAGGGGACCCTCTACCTGACATATACCTCCCGAGGAGCCACCTTGGTTGCGTTCCATTCCAAAGCCCGCAGCTGCTCGGGGAAAGCGTGTACCTCCTTGCCAATAGGTTTGCTCGGGAAAACCTTCTTGTAGGGTTGTCGTGTAGATGGGGAAGGAGCCTGCGTCTCCGATGGATGCCGTGATTCTTCGCAGGAGCAGGAGCGGGACTTGGAGCAGGAGCGGGACTTGAGGCTAGTCCGGGATTGAGAGCGGGTCTGAGACTTAGAGCGGGTCTTTGACTTGCGACGCGATTGAGACCGGCTCTTGGAGCGTGACTCTTCTGTTTTCGTCGGGGTGCGTGAATGGCGGGTCTCGGCTGTCTTGCTTGATACGGTATGGCCACTGGAGGGTTGGAGTTCACCCAGTTAATTTTCGAGGGCTTTCGCACCCATGCCTTGTTGACTGCTTGACTCTCACGCCGAGGGCTGCCTGGATCCCTCGTAGGGTGAGGTCCGTCACAGGATTTGCAATAGGGAGTTCACGGATGCGACTGGGTGGGGTTTTACGGTGCCGCACGTCGGACATATGATAACGTCTGGTGTAGGGCAATAGTCATCCAGATGGCCCAGCTTAAGACTAATCTTGCAAAGCACTTGTCGGAGGTGATGGGGGTAACAACGCAGATCAGCCTCGTAGAAGCGTACGTAGCGAGGGACCTTCAATCCTTTGAAAGTGACTAACGCAATGTTGGTCTGACCCATCATGCGTGCTTGAAGCATTTGGGTTGCAGGAGCCACAAGTTACTCTACTAGCGTGGAAGACGACGCACCGGGCATGATTCCAGGAACAATACCTTGCAAGAGTTGTCGGGAGCCACAAAGTATGTGGTGATGGGATAAACATGCTCACCTAGTTTCAGCTCCCGCACCCTGTATAACGCGTCGGCCACATGGGACTGGGGCGGGCTGATGATTGCTAGGTTTTGCAGTGTTCACAGTCGGAATATGATGTCCTCACGGTCTTTGGTAGTCAAACCAGCAGCGCACTAGAGAGCACCGGCAAGTTCAGGGCGCGTCCACCTATCCAGGCAGAGCCCTCCACGAGGGCTTAGAATGATATTTCCATCGTGTTTAGGAAGTCGAGACAGATGCTGGTTCCCTCTCTGCTTGCGTACATTGCGCTGAGAGACGCCCGAGATGCCCTCGCTTGGTTGGGTTTCCTTGTAGGTGTTCACTTTGCGGGCGCATCGCTTCTTGATGACGGTCTTCCAACAGCCACCTGCATCGTCGTCATCGGTGCGGTCAGCAGGACAGTTCAAGGCAGCATGTTCCTCCATTCTTTCCCCAGTCAAAATGTCATTTTGTTGCCCGGAAAGAGAACTGGTGAAAGCTGGATCAGATTTCAGCCCCATGGTGTGCGTCTCGGGTGTCGTTACTGCCGCGCAACGCCCAGCGGCGTTCTCCGTCGCCGACGATGAACCTTGCTCATTGGAAGACGGCGTTACGGTGGTTGATTGCTCCATCGACACAGTGTCGAGAGTTGGCTGAGAGCCCTTCGCACTGATGCCGGCTTCGGGCCTGTAGTATGTAACGCGGGAACCACGCCGCAGTAGCAGCAGCCGCGTAGGGGCCGCCTCAGAGCAGTCGGAGTCCCACGCATGGATGGACGAAAGATCAACTCACCGCGACAAGCTTGACTTCGGTGAGGTCACCGCCACTTGCTGAGTTGACAGGCACCACCAGCACTTAGGCGAAAAGTCCCACAGTCGAAAAAAAGCACATGATGCAGGCGAAGAAACGGGGGACCGTTGTACGAGATGCCCCGGGCGCGTCTCCCGCAAACACAGGAGCTCCAAACAGCACGTCCGCTCTCCACGAACGCTAGAGCTAGACTCCACTATACGACAAGATTGCTGTCGCAAAAACGGCATCTTTCTATAACATGCGGATTTGTATATTAGGGCAGAACCCCGAAAGTAGTTCAGGGATGGCGCTATACGCACTCAATTCTAGTCTCCCCACCAATGTTGCATGGCGAAGAAAACGTTGTCTTCGTATATCACGTGCACTTAGGAATTAGACTTTTATTTGAAGCAAGCTCTATAGGCTTCGTGCTTTGAGAAAATGTTTAAATTTTATGTAAATACAGATGAACCCATATTTTTTATACAAATGGAAAAATTGGAACAATACGCATTTTCAACACGCCCAAAGGTGGCACGCGCAAACGCCATGATGTGTCGGATTTCCGGAAGCGAAAGCACGACCTGCAGCAGGTTGGGCTGTTTTCAACTCACATGTTTCAACTCGGGAAATAGAGAGGCACCACCTTTCAAAAAAAAAAAAAAAAGCAAATTGTTGCATGCAGGCATGAAATGGCATGGAGAAATGATCCCACGCACAGTGAGATTCGATTATACGCGAAGCACAAATCAGGAAGGTTGACATGTCACTTTAAGATCCACATAACGTTACGAGGTGGACGTACATTATGCCATACATTACTTCCACGTCATGATTATCATGTTCGGACGTGTCATTTAACTACTTCGTCTATTCACGTCACGTGATACCGAATTTGTTATAGCACGAGCATGCTATGAGCGTACGTAGCATGTAGTCATGTTTTACATGACACGAATGTCATGATTATCATGTTTGGACGTGTCATTTACATTCGTCGTCCGTTCGCGTCACGTAATACCAAATTTGATATTTGCGAAGCTAGCGATAGGGCTACGAGCGCATCGTGAGCGTGGCATGTTGTCATGTTTTTACGTGACATGCATCTCATGATTATCGTGTGTGAGCCAGTCATATATATACTTTCGTCATTCATTCTTGTCCCGTAATACTAAATTTAGTACATGTAAAGCTAGCGAAACGACCGCGAGTGCACCATGAACGTGTCGTGTAGTCATGACTTACATGACATGCATGTCGTGATTTTCGCGTTATCGTCTGTCACTTATGTTCGCCATGCAGTCATGTCATGCCATACCAGTTTTGCAATATGTCATGTCAAGGAATCCACTGCAAGAGCAGGAAGACCACGCAATGTAAATAATTGACATTCATAACATACATGTCATGATTCTCATGTTATGACTAGTCACTTATGCTAGTCATACAATCATGTTACGCCATAGGATACCATTATCTAAACGGTCAGGAGAGCTAAAAATAGTAGGCCGCTAGCTAGCTAGCTGGCTAGCTAGCTAGATATATATATAGATAGATAGATAGATAGATAGATAGATAGATAGATAGATAGATAGATAGATAGATAGATAGATAGATAGATAGATAGATAGATAGATAGATAGATAGATAGATAGATAGATAGATAGATAGATAGATACGCTCGAAGTTACCGTAGTTCACTAAGGAAAGCTTCGCATTTAAAAATTTGTGGAAGACTAAGGGAACAGAGGAGCTGGTGGCTTTACCCCCTCTTCACTCTTACTGTCATTTCATGCCCCTTGCATATAAGCCGCCCCTAAAGACATAGCAACACAATGTGGTGATTTATAAGCTTGAGTTTGCGAAAAAAATCGACATAAAGAAAACGCTGCAAGCCACTGCCCGCACTCGGTTTTTCACATACGCCACCACCGGCCGTGCCCGTCACTGAAATCTGCGACTCTGGCACTGCCCGTGTGGGGGACATGACGTATTTCAATGTGGCCAATCACAGCGGACTAACACCGAATAGTATTCCGTATTTGTGATGCAGTTTGGCTTGAATATCTAAAATAGCGTGATTCAGAAGGGCTCAGCGCTGTCAGTTTCGATTTCGGTTTCGTTTGCCCTCTTACTTTTATCTTCAGTCCCTAGAGGCCACTAGTACCCAACATGGCGGCCGTCCGCTGCGTGTGCAAGTCAATCGCATCGCGAAAATTCGTGGTTTCGTTGTAACTTCCTCGGAAAATCTGCGTGTGATCGACACCGTTTTCACAGCGGACTCTCGGACTTGCTGCTAAAGCGTTCCAGCAGCAGAGCAACAGCCATGGACTCGACAGAAGTGGAAGTTCAGGTGAGACTCTCCGTTCCGTCGGAAGAAACGCATCGTTTCTCCGTGCCACCGCCTATGATCGGATTCGATTCCTTTAGCTCTGTTGCTTGCTCTCTCCAAGTAAGACAAACATTTTGTTCGCGGGTCGATGCTAAACTATCGTGCTGACAAACCGCCACCAATCTCAAATGGCTCGCACGTACCCCGTGTCGCATTTTATCTAGGACACTGACTCGGGAGAGCAAAAAAGATGCCAGTGCGGTAAAATTTCGCTCGGGAATTGGAGCAGCGATTTTGTGGGAAGGCATGTGAAAACGAGGCGCCTGTGTCGTTGTACAAACGCAGACAATAGCTGGAACGAAAGGGAGCGTTTCACCCGAAGACAACTTCCGGCTTTTAAAGTGTAAACGTCGAACGCTTTCGAATCGCACTTTGTTCCCGTTTTTCGCTCCCGGTTGCCCGGTTAACGAAAACACGCCTGGGGTTGGGCGCGAATGCTTGCGAAGTAAAGGCCCACCGGCTCATCATGTAACCTGTTCGATTGCGATATGAAGGCTTGCTTCATCGGTCAAAAGAGCCGCACCTAAATCGGCCGTGTAAATCTATCGTACCGTGAGCAACTTGTGGACATGAAACGATCGGCGCACGAGCCGGTGAAATCGAAGTTTTCTTTTTTATTTACGTCGCTATTGCAGTCGCATCGTACGCATGTACTGCGTCGCTTTCATTAGCTAGTTGATTTGCGAGATGGCTAGGGACGTGCTGCAGGTTGCGATGTTACGAAGAATAAAATCAGGAAATCGAAGCAGACACGTATAGTGTATCCGTAGTTATTTGCGTATAGGGATTATGCTGCTCGCTGTGTTGCATAAAAAGATGCTTGATCATTTAATGGCGTTGCACTTTGTTATGGGTAGCCGTGCTTGCGAGATAAGTTAATCAGAAGCTGACAAACTGAATAGAGTTGTATTCTTTAGTTGTGGTAGGCTAGAAGTACGTAGGGAGCATTGTGCTGACTGAGTGCCCCTTTGTGTGTTTGTGTGTGGCGTCTTAGTTCCCACAGGTTTTATCGTCACAGTAGAGCTAACTCGTTAATGTTTGTACATCAATGCCCCACGTGTATGTGCAAGTAGTCCCGTCTGTAAAGCTCTCATTGTATGAAACACCTATTGAGTTCATTTTTCTCTTGGCATTCTTTTCATTCTTCTTGTTTTACCAACACTTTGAAGTGAATACCCATTTAGTGTTTTCTCTAATTTTTCATGGCAGGTTGAGGAGAATTGTGCAGAAAGGTGTGCAGTACCTTAGAAAAAATCTAATTGACAATAAAATAATGCTAGCATAAAATAAGTTAAACAAAGCCATGAACAGAGTTTGGAGTCATGCACCAAGTTCAGAGCTGAGCATGCTACTTGAGAGCCATGACATGCAGGAGCAAGTGTCCGATACAGGATGACGCACGTGCCTGCTTCAGCAAAACGTGACAGCTACTTCCAATAGAATACTCTTTATCGACTCAGCTAAAACTCCAGAGAATCTTCTTTTCCAATAAATGCAGTGGTTAGCACTCGAAATGAGCAAAAAGTCATTTCGGGTATTGAGTGAAAAAGAAACGCAGAACATGTTAATGCAGTCAAAATCTGAAAGTTGCAGATAGGATGGATTGATTGATCAAGGAGCAATTTATAACATGCTGTGCCGCCAGCTTACATTCGTTTGCTGTGCTGCCACACTGTTTTAGAAGGCTGCCTGTTGAACCTATAATTATCAAGGAGTGATAAAATATGGAGTGAAGCGGGTACTCTAGAAGATAATGTGTTAGTCAGGTAGACTGCCCACCTTCTGACATTAGGGGAGAAAGAAAAGGTGCAATAATAATATTTATATTGTAAACGCCGACATATCAGCTTTTGTGGAGAGTGACTCACTACAGGGCCAAGCCTCGCATTAGTATTTAAGTTATCTCAGCAGCTTACGCTAATGAATGAAAGACAGCAGAGTGGTCTTTAAGTACTAATAGTGTTAGTCATTGTATCAGGGATATCTTTCTCCTGAAGGAAATCCTAACTTGTGCAGCATTGGAAAAAATGTTTTAAATGCGTCCGCAGCATAGTGCTGAATGCCTGTTCGATGTACCAGAACTAGTGAAATTCTCTGTGTTATGATTTCAGTTGAAATATAACTTCAGTGTAATGTGTTTTTGCAACTCATCTTACTGTTGAATGTATGCTCTCATTTCTAATGTTTGACGTTGCAGCTGCGTGTGAGGGAAACATTTAGTGAATGAATCGCACCTAATTAATCACCTTTCATGTTCTGTGCGTAAATTTTTAGATTTTTAGTCTGCTGAATAAGTTTTCTAATTTACTTTGTTCTTTTTTATATCATGTTTTGAGTTTTTTTTAGCTAGGTGGTGCAGAGCTAATTGTTTAACGGAAGTAGTGTACATTGCTACAAGACAGAATGGATAGAATACTCAGTTGGTGCAAGATACAGGTAGTATGCAAATAGTTCAGTTGATCTTTTGTTTATGCTGTAATTATTGGGATAAAAATGAGTGCAGCTTTCTAAACCACCTAGCTGCAACAATTATAACTATTATGACAACAGCTTCCAGTATAATTGAAGGTACAAACATGGCTCAGCGTTAAGATGTAATTGCACTGACAAAAAAGTCTCGAGGTCATTAATGCCTAAGTGAACATTTTATAAGTGTAGAGCCCTAGATTTTCTGAACACACAGATTTTGCGAGTCTTTCGGGTCTGGTGACTGTCGAGTGTGGCGCAGTTTTTGCATCAAATCACTTGATGGTAGTCTTGAACCCGCTGTGTCCCCTCTGTCCCTTTCTTGTCTATCCAGTGTGTCGACTGTCTTCTTGCTGGGTGAGAACTTCACGCGACCTTTCGCATATCCGCCTCACTTCAACTGTTCGGTCCCTGTGTCCGTCTATTCTGTGCCTATACGTTCTTCACTTTATCTGCCTTCTTCGCCTCCTGCTCTGCTTTTGGTGGTGGGAATTCGTGTGCTTCTGAGATACCGCCCAGGTTCATTTGGTACTACTGTGTACACAGTAAGTATGTAGCATGGGAGACGTTTCGGGCTTGCTGCATGGTGTGTTGCTTCGTCTGTCGAACTTGCCTTCTACAGCTCTCTGTTTCGTCTTCGGGTGATCTTTAGTCATATATCTTGTCACTGTTTATTGTGCTGCTTTAGAGCAGCGTGCTCCAAGATCTCTCGCCTTGTGGTTCTATTGTTTTTCTTTGTTTTTATATGTCTATGGCATCCTTTTCGCTGACTGCTGCATTCAGTGCACTGACTGTTCTGGGAAAGCTATTCTGCATGAAGGGGCGCACGTTAAAGAACCCCAGGTGGTCAAAATTTCCGGAGCCCTCCACTACGGCGTCTCTCATATAATCATATAGTGGTTTTGGGACCTTAAACCCCACAAATCAATCAATTCTGCATGAAGCCTGAGTTTGTGTTCTGAATGCTTTTGTTTGAAACTAACGCTTCCCCGTGCCTACTAACTGTGCCTGGAAACTTTTTCAGCTTGAAAGCATTTTATTAGGTTGGCAAAGTATTGAAAGTGCTGTTTGGATTAGAATGACCGGTACTGCGATGTGTGCTTTTGATAATTGGAATATATGGGAACTACTATAATTGGCAGTGCTAAAGAGAGCAGGGACTGCCTTCTTTCTTGTAAACACTGTAAAGGTGAGGTGCCTGTAGGGGGGTGTTTCTTTACCCTGTGCTGTAACCACTCTGCATGGAAGAACAGGATTCATCATGATATCTATGCTTGCACTAAAACATTCATTATGTATTTTCACCAAAGACAATGTCAGTCTCTATTTCCTGCATTTTGTGAAGATGCTGTTAATGCTGTGGTTGCTTTACAATTATTAAGACAACAAAAAACAAATTGCTCTAATTAAGTGTTATAAGTTCAGTTAAGGAATATTATTGTCTGACACTCTCCACAATTTACCAATATTTCATTCATCTCTACAAATACATGTCAAATATGTGAAGTGATGCATCTTCTGTTGTGTACTTGTGGATGGCAAGTTGAACCGTAAGATTACAGTCTCAGTTGCAGTCAGATGTTATCCGGAAAATGTGTCAGCGCTTGATAATCGTAGTCTGAGTGGCTTTCAACTATACGAACACTATTTTGTGCAGGACTCTTCTATGGTTGTAGTGTGTTTGATAATGAATGATGCCAGTGAAATGACCTTGAAACGCCACAAGGTTACTCTGCCACTCTGGACAAAAAAAGCAATATAATGATCCTCCATTCAGTGCTGTAAATACATTCATATAAGAAGTGTTTCGGTAAACAAACGGCAATTTTACCATAATGTAATAACCAAACGATCAGATTGTCCAGGTGTTATTGTGGAAAGCAGCTATGCACATTCATCCACACTATTTTGTCGAACACTTTCATCAAACAACATTTCATCAAAACATCACTAATTGTCAAAGTTTATAAAAGACTGGACAGCTTATTAAAGCCTGCGTATCACTGTTCAGTGGCACCACATCTCTGGCACTTCATTGGCCAGGTGAGTTTATGGCAAATTGAAAGTGGGCATTGAAGCAATGAACTTTCTGCAGAAGCCTGAGTACTCATCACAATCAGCCCACAAAAAAAAAAAGAGGATTCAGCATTTTTAAAACAATTCGCAGTGAGTGCCCATACTCCACGTACCCTGTGGAGTAGATTTGCAGAGACCGCTTGCACAGGCGTTGATGTCATTTTCAGTACAGCTTAAGCATGCTTTTCAAAGCGAAGCAAAACATTAGCCCATGTTTCCAAACAAGACGGACGTTCAGAGGAAAATGGATGTTAGAATTGATGCGAAGTCACTGAATAGGCCAATGCTAGCGTAGCCAACGTTGCGGCAAGGAGAGATGTTTTTGTTGAAATCTTGGAGGCTTGCCTTTGCCGAGGCTCAGGAGAAGGCAACTCCCCAGGTGACAATCCTTGTTCAATCACTTGTTTGGCCAGTGTGTG